TAAACAGTAGAGGCTGAATTCAACTACCTGATTCTGACAGGTTTACAATTGTTAGCTGCGATCAATGGAAATAAATGCACGCAATTCTCTTCCTATGAATGCTCTTTAAAATATTGAACATTCAAAAGCTCCAAAGGTGTCACAGCTCACAAACAGCAATTCCCCAAACCTATGGGTTGGGGGGATTAGCAGACATCAGCTGAACCAGTAATAAACCATCAACACGCAGATGGTTCGATGCTAATTGTATTCTTTCTAGCTAGTAAATAAAGTGCCCAAACACATTCATTGCACAGCCTTTCCTACAAGGGAAATAGAATTAAGCACTTACAAGATTGCTAGCAAAGTAGAACGGATGACTCCCATGGCTGGATGTTTCAGAAGTGGCTGGGAACCAGCTCCCCATGTGCTTTTTTTTACCTTTTATACCCTCAGTATTGCACCAATTATTATTATTAATTTTATGCCAAACCAGGCAAAACCATTGGCTAGTAACATTATTACCCTTGTCCCAAATGACAACAGATTGTTTCAGGAGGTTTTCAGCACTGCATCCTGTTTTCGCTGACTTGTCTTAACCACAAAGCCACCTGGAACTTGTTGACATCACCTTTGTAATCAAAGGATCTCTCTCACTCTTTGAACCTGTCCTGTTTTCTGTTCCACTAACCTGACAGTTACAGTTAAAATGTTCCTGAAAGCCTCTCTTATGTCAAGCTTCCTGAATTAGAATATACAGGGGTTTAATACTCTAGAATAGCTCCTATATTCATGTAGCAAAAAGGGACACCCTGCCGCTGCTGTTGTGCCACCCCATTGCCACCACAGCCTCCCTTACCTGGATTGCAGCAGCAGTGGCAACAGTGGCTTTGTCTCAGGGCCAGCACAACACATGGTGCCACATGAGGAAGGCAGACCACCTCACCTCTTTTTACTCCAGCTGTTAATGGCAGCAGCCCTGGCAGGCTCAGCACCATGTTTTGAGGAAAGGGTCAAGATAGGATAGAGCAAGGGAAGCAGTGGCAGTATTGCAAGAGGGAGCAACCATAGCAATGTGAGGGGGGCAGCACTGGGGTCTATAGAAAGGGAAATGCAAAACCCTCCCTCTCCCAATTTGCCACCTGATCCACATGGCTCAAGGTTATTCGTGGTTGGGACAGCTCCCCACCCCACCCGATCCTGGATAGTTCCATTGGAAAGAAAAGAAAAATTCCTTTCTCCCAAACTTCCAGCTATTGTGTGTGTTACTTTAAACCACATGAGGGCACTCTTTGTCTAGTAACCTAGCCAGCTCTTGCTGGTAGCCATTGTCTGCAGCCCTAAAACCTGACCCATTTTGTTGTTCTCTCCCAACTTGTTGAGATAAGGTGTCTACTATTTTCTCTTTCATCTCTAGTCATCCTGTAAATGGCTCCTGCCAAGATAGTGAAACAGACTCCCATGACAGGTGATGGACTATCCTTCACTGAAGGTTTTTAAGCAGAGGTTGTATGGTCATCTGTCAAGTATGATATAGTTGAGATTGCTGCACTGAAGGGGATTGGACTATCTATGCTCTTGCATGAATAAAGCCTCTGAACTCTAGAAATTGTAATTGATCATTTCAGTCTCACTCACCCATGCTCCTAACAGGTATTACCCTTAATGTGAAGTAGTTTTGGAAAGCCATAACAGTTTGTACGACAGTGCTTTATAAAGTACAACTGGGGCCTTAGATTGGTTTCATGTTGATGCCAGTGGCATGCCGATGGAGGCAGATGTATGAATAGCCCAAGTGAAAAACCATGGTGAATTGTAATGGCCAGTTTTTATTTTGAAAAATTCAGACACTATTTCACAGTGTTTCCTGCCTTTCACTTGGCACACTTGTTGTAGCCATTTCATTAGGCTCGTCCAGTTTCTTTGTCTTTTATCACACTCAAGGGAAAACAGAGGTTTATGTAACTCCAGACCTGCCAATCTGGAAAAATGCCCAGTGGTATTCCTTTCCTAGTAGCTAAAGTTTCCAACAAAGAAAAAAGGGAACTCAAGGTTGTAAAAAGGTAGGATTTCACTTCAGAATCAAATTCCTAAATCTGCAGGAGAATAAGGTTTCTTTTGTAGTTCTTTTGTAGTTTTATATTCCATCCTTTATTATAGATTATCTTTCACATTTTTGGATTAGATCTTATACAATGAGACCTGCAGCAAGATTTAACAACATGGGAGTCCTTCTGTTCATCTTGCCATCCATTAATGGCAAAGTGAACATATACAGGCAGAAAATTGGAGTATAGATTTTAAAATCCTTATATACATTTTGGTCAACATAACCAATAAGATGATTTTTTCTTCTATTATAACTGCCTCTCAGATAGTTAACCTAAGAGAGGAAGAGGAGGTTGTAGCAACAATAATTTTGACCAAAGACATTTGTATCAATCGATGTTTAGGGATCTATCCATCTGTTTGGTTCACCTTTTCAGTTGTATAGTGTGTTTTTACTTAAATTTTAAACTGCTGTAGATGAAGCCAAAAATCATTAAACTCATTTCCTTGTTGTTGCTTTTTAAAAAAAACTTCATCTGATGAGGATACCAATTTTCTCCTGCTGACAACACAATCAGCTGCTTGCTTGTCCAGCATGACTTGTAAATGAAATATATTCTTTTCCTGTTTGCTTTTTTTTTCCCACACTTCAGATTCCTCTCAAAGGTCAAAACAGCCATTTCTACTTCGTTGTTCTCTGTTCAGCTTCTACAAAAGCTTCTCTCAAGATCCATGGAATGGGGAATATAAATCAAATGATGTTTCTCCACTTATAGCTAGATTACATAATTTATTTGAAATGTCACCAACATTTGCCAATTGTTTTAACTATTATTTCACTTTACAGTGGTACCTCGGGTTACAGACGCTTCAGGTTACAGACTCCGCTAACCCAGAAATAGTACCTCGGGTTAAGAACTTTGCTTCAGGATGAGAACAGAAATCACAAGGCAGCAGCGCGGTGGCAGCAGGGGGCCCCATTAGCTAAAGTGGTGCTTCAGGTTAAGGACAGTTTCAGGTTAAGAACGGACCTCCGGAGTGAATTAAGTTCTTAACCTGAGGTACCCCTCTATTTGGAATCCGTATCAATTTGATAAAGAGAAGAAACTGGGGTGTGGGGTCCTTTGGAACTTATTCATGTATTAAACCTAGAAAAGTTTGTCCTTGATGCCAATGTGCTCAAGTAGCCTTTTGTTGGCAGTGTTGATTGGGGAGGAAGGAGAGAGAGATATCAAAGTTTTCTTTGCTGATTTCCTAACCAAGGCTTTGGGTGCACATCAACACTGGCATATGGATGAAGCTCTGCATGTCATTCTCCTTCATGTACATGGTTCCTTTGCAAGAAACAGGTATGACAGGTACCTACACACCAAGGGGCTTACAATCTAAAGACAGCAGAAGACATGGCCAGGTGTAGTAGACAGGGGAAGTGTAAGTGTTTACTATTTAAATTACACATACTTTAACTTAGCTACAATGGGAGGAACTCAACACAGCTTTGCACAGATCACTCCAACAGCACAAGCATGATAGTACCAACTGCCCTCCCCCCCACATCCATTATTCTCCTTACCCCCCTACCCTGAACCAATTAGGTGGGTGCAAGGGGGCACATGGGGTGTGGAGAGGGGAAAGATGATGGGAGAGAGACCCATTGCATTAACAGGAGTCCCTCTGTGGGATTCTGCTGGCAGGACCTGAATAAGATACAGTGGTACCTCCGGTTATGAACTTAATTGGTTCTGGAGGTCCATTCTTAACTGGAAACTGCTCATAACATGAGGCGCGCTTTCGTTAATGGTGCCTCCCGCTGCTGCCACGCTGCCAGAGTTCGACTTCCGCTCGCATCCAAGGGCAAAGTTTGCGACAAAGGGCATCTACTTCCAGGTTAGCAGAGTGCATAACCCAAAGCATTCGTAAGGGGGGTGGTATGTAACACAAGGTGCCACTGTATAGGGTGCCCGGGGGCATCAGGGGAGACACTCTGCATGTTGCCACCTTTCCTTGTACATTTCCTGCATATAGTCTGTACATGCACTCATTGTACTTCTAATCCCTTGCTGGATTGTTTTTACAGAGTTTTGTGGAATTTCTGACAGTTTAAGAGTTAACGTTTATATACAGCCACTTAACTGACTCATTTTTACAAAAGAGTTTTACTTATTTTATTAAGAAATTATCAGAGCAATCTTGTACATGACTAGTCAAAAGTAAACCCATCAAGTTAAATGAGCCTACTCCTCAGTAAGCCAGTATACAATTACAAAATTTAATCTTCTACACTAAAAGTGTCGTTCTTTGGCTTCCGGTTCCGGTTCCAGTTCCCCTTAATGGAGGCAGCTCCCACGACAGCAGGAGATCATTGGCAAAGGAAAAACAAGGATGATTGAGGGTAATTATCCTTGCAAGTTCCTCCCAGGGACCGGGGAGGGGGGGGGGGATGAGGACGGGCTTCACTCGCAGATTGTCTGGGTACCTGGCTCTTGCTCCAGCATGGAATGTGGGAGGCAGGGAGGGGCTGAGTGCAAAAGCACTTTGCCTTCTGAAAACCCTCCGACGTCACCATTAAGCAGCAGAGGTTCTCCTGTTATTTAGAGCTTAATTTGCATGAAGTACAGGCGTGTGCTAGAAGACATGAGATCATAAACTGCGGAACTGAACCAGCTGCAAGGTTGTTAAGGTTTGAACTTGAGAGAAGACTTCATTCGGTGCAAAAGACTGTGTGGGGGAGGGGCGCCTATCGTTTTTTAAAGTTTTCTTCTCTACATTTATGATTTGGCAACCCTCCTTTGAATGTTAGTTTAAATCATATATGTACAAGTGAGAAGGGATGAAACTGGATTATAGCTATGGAATATAATATACGGAACTGTGTGTGTAAAAATACCATTCTATTGTCAAAATATTTTTTTGTTTCTAGGATATCATGCATGAGATAATTTCTCTTTCACACAAACATAACCACAGAGATGTACAGAAATCACAGGTCTTTAATAATCCTTGTATCATATGAGTTTTAAGGCATCAAATAAATATCCTGGAACTCTCCAGAGATCATTACCCATTTTGCTCCTTAATGCTCATCAAAACCAGTGACTTTACATTTTGTAGTACAGGTAGACTTTTAAAGACATTTATGCATCCTTTATAATATTGTCTGCTTCCACTTTGGTCCTTAATGAAATAAAAGTTCAATTCACATTATACCCACAGAATACAGAAAGAGAAAACACTGTCCCCCTGACTTAACCTCTGAAGGAGCTTGAAGAACTGAAGTTGCACACATATTGCAATTGTACAGGTTTAGATATTCAGCCTCTTATTTCCCTTCCTATAATGCTCAATATATACCCAGGTTTCTGACAAGCCTGGAACAATTATACTACACTGGGCAACATGATGGAAGGTTTGGATTGTTTGAATGTACAGAGATGACATAGCTACTGGGCTCAGGGCCATGCTGGTGGTCCCACCTGCAGGTGTCCATCATTGGCACAGGGTCTACATCAAGAATGCCTCTGCTCCTTATGCATAGCCTCCTTCAAGAAAGGCAATCCATGCAAACTGGATGGTGGAGTCTGGCGGTGGAGTCAGAAGCATGCCTAATGCTGAAGGGGGCAGGCTCTACAGAGTCCTAATTCTGATACTCAGGTGAAGGATGCTATTGTCACTTAAGAAATCTCAACTATGGCTTGATTGTGTCAGTGTCCATGTGAGTTTGAACACACTGAAAATTTGATGGAGGCTGATAACCTTACTTGTTCAGGTTTAGTGATAATTTTCTTACTACAAAATCCTTGGGAACATCAAAAGACAGACAAAATGTAACCAGTATCAGCCCAATTTTCAGAGTGGGCATTTGTGCAACAGGTTAAAAGATTAATTTCAGGATTCAGAAATATGTAGCTACACATCCAAGAAATGGGAGATAATTGCCTTTTAAAAATATTTTAGAAATGTCTCTGTTCTTTTGTTTTTCTTAATACAGAGATTTGTGGTAATTTTACAATTCTTTGGTGAGGTCATAAATCAGTAACATAACCATAATTACCAGAACGTATTGCCTTGGCTGTCCAGCACTTATGTAAAGCATACCTCTATTGCCAGACAGACAAACTCAGGACCCTGGAATTACTACATGAAAATATTTGAAAACAATACTATTGGTTAAAATATCACAACTAAAAAAATCTAAAGGCAGGGGCTGTTATTTGATGCCTAGTTTCCAAGCCCTTCAATTATTATCTGAACATATAAAATGATTTCTCCAAGCATTTTTTCTCTAAAAAGAAAAGGATGATTCTTGAGATTCTAAGAGCAGCATTTGGGTCTACACAAAATTTTCTGAGCGGCTAAAATGTTGCCATCTTGACTCAATTTGTGCAAACCTGCTCTGGGTTAAAGGGGGTGAAGAGATAACATACTATCAGTAGAATTCTAAATACAAACAGTATACACCTGCTATATCTTTTCTTCATGGCTGGTATGGATTAGGTCTGTTGCTGCACTGCTTTCCTAACACAACAATCAGTTGAAGCCTTGAGTAACTTCTACAGTGAGTGCTGAGCCTCATATACAAAAAAGCATCTCATATATACTTAAGACTCACAGCTGAATGTTAAGGTCAGGTTCCTGTAGCCAAGAGGGCCAAACTGGTAAAACTGATTATAACTGCATATAGCAACACGGGTTCAGACTGTACTTGTATGACATCAGCATCATTTCATACATTCATTACTAAAAAGGCATTTTAAAGCACTATTTTTACATATACAGTATCTAGACCATAATCAGAAGCCAAGTAGTTATGATTCCATTGTCTGCATCTTCCTGAAGTTTTCCAGTGTGTCAGATTTCCAATAGGTTTCTTTCATCTAAACAGAACAGAACACATATAACTATATATAGAAGTACCAAACGATCTAAGATGGGGTTATGTCATTAATTATTATATTATTCTGCATGTTGTGCTGTTATCTTGTGTTTTTATGCTGTGAATCACTCTGAAATCTACAGGTGAAGGACGGCATACAAATTTAAATACTGGTTAATGCTCATCACTTTTTAAATCTGTAGTATCGCCAGCCAAGATTATGCAGTCATGGTATTCCTGCCCAGAATTTTGGTGTGATACACTAAGATGAGTGGTCTATCACCATCTACGCCCCTTGTTCCTGCAGTCTTAAGCAAGCGCCAGAGCCAGAAGCATTATCAGAACTTTGGTTGGCCACAATGCATGGCTGGTAAACTGTCAGTTTGATAGGTCTGAAGCTGTGTAGGCCTCCAGTAAGAGGACAATTCACCAGCCCCACAGCAGCAGTGCTCTTGCCCAGCCCCCATTCATTTCGATGCAAAGTTTCTTCTTTCTACCTGAGCCTCATGGTGACTTCTCTTAAAACTTCCTGTTTCTAGGACATACCATAAACAATCTTTTGCAATAATATAGTATCAATCCTTCCCCTCCCCTTCTTTGAAAGCATTTTCTACTCATTTCAGTGAAGGTGGGCGAAGTTGTACATTTGGGGATTGCAAGGCAGCCCTGAAACAAGACAGCAGTACTTATTACTCAATTTTGTGATAGTCCCCAAAGCTTTCAAGTGGACTTTGAACTTACCGCCCCTTCCACAAAGAACTTAAACCTTTCTTTGCCTGGTACTGTTTTCCACACCATTGCTGTCTTCCGTTTTCCTGTACAGAAGAAGTGATATTAACGTAAGCCTGTAAACATCACAAATCATTGTTCTACCTATGTTTGGAGCTGCCCCATTCTCTGGATAGACTATTCTGTTGTCACCTTTCATGTGGGTAACCTTCACTAACAACCAGAGAAGAGCACGCCGCCCAGGAAGAACACCATAACAAGGGGAAGACCAGCCTGGTTCCACCCATCAGCCAGTGAATGTACAGCTCCCATGTTTGTTTTCCTCTTCCCCTCTCTATTTGTTCATTAGTTTTTTGAAACACATCTATTAGGGAGCATGAGCTTGCAGTCAATTCCTTTTTAAAATATTTTTAATTGATTTTTACAAATAATTTCCAAAAATCATATAACATACTTTCTTATCTTATACAACATTTTGGACTTCCATCAACCACATCTGAAACTTTTTCAATCTTTATCACTTAATCTACATTTCTTAATTTCTCTATTACTTTTAATTATCCTTAACTAATAGCTCTCTTCATAATCTTCTATGCAGTATTTCGCATAATCCTCCTTACAAAACTTCTTGCAGTCCTACAAGTGTAATCTGTTTGTTACAATTGCTTTTCAAATAAATCAGATATTTACTCCAGTCCTCTGAGAATCTCTGGTCCCACAGGTTTCAGATCCTTCCTGTCATCTTATCTAATTCTGCAGAGCTGGCAGTCAATTCTATATACCAATTACGCTGTATGAAGAAGTTCTTGTCAGGGGAAAAAGACTAGCTTAGTAGCATGTAGGGAACCTCTGGCCTTCCAGATGTTGCCAAGCTACAACTTCTATCATCCTTGGCCATTGGCTATGCTTGCTAGTACTGATGGGGGTTATAGTACCATCTAGGAGGAAATACACCCAATGTAGGTATCTTCCCCTGGTATCTCCAACTAAAAATATCAGCTAGGAAGTGATGGGATGCTGTACTGGAGACTCTGGGAAGCCACTAGATGGACAAATAATTTGAGCAGATATAAGTCACCTTCCTGTGTTCTGTCTCCACTGTTGCAGGCACTATGCCTTTGAATGTTGGTTGTTGAGAATTACAGGTGGGGAGAATTCTGCTGCACTTAGGTTCTGTTTTGTGGGCTTCCCATGGGCAGAGTGCAACTATGAGAGCAGACCTTTGGCATGATCCAGGAGAGCCCTTCTTATGTACAGACTTTTGCCTGGGAATTTGAGAGCGACTGTCATGCAGGGGGACTAAATAATTTGGAATTCCTACATTTAATTACAAACTGGCATCAATTAAGAACAGAACATTTCTTGAAAATGCCACTATTAATGGGTGCAATCCAACACCTGCCGAACTCAATAGCCAAGGCTGCTTAAATTTTCACCACACACTATTTAAGCATTCATATAAAAACGCAGATTAAAATCGCTACTTACAGGGTCTCCGTCTGTTCAAATTCTTTTTCAACTTCTTCTGTGAGACAAAGAAAATCCAGTGATTATTTCACATAGCCATCGTTGCATTAACAGGAGCATAAGAACAGGTGTGCCATGTTAAATCAGCAGGCCAGTGCATTAAGGTCTAAGTGGTTCTCACTGGCACAATGTAAACACACTGGGAGTCACAGCCACAGCTGAGGCAGAGCAAAACTTACTGATCATTCAGCAATTCCCGAATGCTAATTATTTTGTCAACTTTGGAAAATGCCCAAATATGCACACAGTGAATCTTACAAATAGAGAAAGATAATATTTGCCTACATAATGCCGTGACTTATCTAAAGTGGGAAAATACGTCCTCTAATAGGGGTCCCCACTTTAATAAAATATTGAGAGGGCATGTAAGCCCTGCTCCACATATTCGATCACATGACATGGCACTCACACACCATTTGAATGGCAATGCCCATCAACTGGGAGGGAGGACAAGCGAAAGGACCTTGGCCCCTAGGAGTTGGCTCCTATGTCCTCTAAACACTAGAAAATACCATCCAATTTGATTTATGTCATTTCTTTCTCTAGGGCAAGCTTGGCTAACCTGCGGCCCCTTTTCAGATCATCTTACATTGCAGATTACTGGTTAATCCAGGCTTTCCCAATGTGGTGTCTTCCAGAGGTTTTATACTACAAGTCCCATTATCTCCAGTCAGCATGGCCTATCATCAGCGATGATGGAAGCTGTAGTCCAGTAACATCTGTTTGGCACCACGTTGGGGTATACTGGGTTTTACTGAAGAATTATAGTGAACTCTAGAAATCCAATTTGTGTAGTGTAGGCATGTGTGGCAAAAGTGTGCTCCTCCTATATCTTACCAACTTGAAATTCTTTCTTTTTGGTGCACGCTTCATAGGCAAAAATAATAGCAACAAAAAGGACAACTTCAGCGGCTATTGCAAGAAATGGCTTGAGGGGTGTCATATAGGTGAGAACTTTGAGAGACACTTCGCCTTTTCTTGCACCTAGAGGAAACACGGCTTCACACGAGTAAACCCCAGTATCTTCCTCAGAGAGACCCATGATCTTCAGTTTTGTCATGTTGGCATGCTCTTGGGTAATGGTGTACTTTTCTGGCATCAGAGTAGTATTAATAGCCACCTGGTACAAAAACAAGTTCACAAGCGTTAGCAGGGTGACACAAAATGGACTCATGTTAGCACTGGAAGTTCAGAATGTAGGAATTCAAATATGGGAATGGAATACTCCTAACAGGGAAACTAAATACGCAATGGAAAAGCAGAAAGGGAAAAGGAAATGCCACAATTCACAAGTACTTGATTGACAGCCTGGTTTGGGCCAGGGGTTTGAATGCAAGCTTATGTTTTCCTTGGGCAAATGTTCTTCTACCCAGGACACAGTCTACTTCTTAGTCCAGAAACTTAAACCTTGGGGACTAGAGTCTAGTAAAGGTGGTAGGCAGTGCTTTTTTCTGGGGGTACTCAAGTGTTTGCAGTACCAACACCTTTTTCCCCCTAGAAGAAAAGCACTGTTGGTAGGAATCTGTTAAGGTACCTCAATAAACCTACAATGCCCAAAGTTCAATAGGGCAGGGTTCTCAGAAACTTCCTATCCCCAAGACCGAGCACTGAAATATAGGGCAGCCCACCAGTCACAAAATGGCAGCATAAACAGTTTCCCATTACCAGCATCACATGATTTCTATTCACCAATCAAAGGATCACAGCAATCTTAACAGATGGAATCCAATGACATTATCCTGAACCAATCAAAATCTTTTCGCTCTTCAGATCATGCAATATCATGTGAGTACGTATAATCATTTTTCAGTGTCTTTCTTTACTAAGACTTTGACTCATTTCCCTATTCATTAAATGCCTCCCAATATCCTCTTTCATCTGTCTACAAATCAATTCAAGATTAATCACAATTGTCCATGCCTAGTCGGCTCTCTTTACATGCATACATTGGCCACGATAGATTTTATTCTTTTCAGTGCTCTGTACAGTAGAAGGTAAGCAGCCATAGGCATTTTCAGTTAAGCTAGGTCGTAGGCTCAAAAGAAAATGGAATCCTCAAAACGATACGGCTTTATGAATGTATTTTCTGCATCATGAGTATCCCTGTGTCCAACGTTTATCCCATTTCTAGACTGCATTTGAAGAGAGCTTTCTATAAAAGTACTGAATGACATGTGTTTGTCCTTTATCAAGCAGAACCTCACCTGTTCGCTTCCATTCTTTGTATACCAAACCCAGGAAGATGGGTTATATTGGTGGGTTTCACTGCCAACCAAACACGCCAGGACCACAAAATCACCTACATAACTGATTATGCGCTCAGATTTTCCATGAGGTTCAGGCACTAAGGAAAAAACAAAACACTTGTGATACTTCAGGCAGCATTTTTTTAAGACCACTTGTGAAAGGATGCATTCAAGGATCTACAACACCTATGAATAACTCCATACCCTCCAACATTCCTCTGATGAAAATAGGGGTGTCCTAAGGGAAAGCGGGACATTCTGGGATCAAATCAGAAACTGGGATGTCTTCTGTAAATCCAGAACTGTCCCTGGAAAATAGGGACACTTGGAGGATCTGCTACTTCCTTATCTTTGCTATTGTTACAGAAGGGGCCTCTGCCAATCCTAGACCATGCTAATTTCTCCCAGATGGATGTATGAACCCGAGCAAGGAAAAGATAACCGGCCGCAAAAGAGCCAAATACAAGCAATCCATTCAATGTCCTTCCTGCATTTCCTTTCTTCGTGTAAATAGGGGTTCAGCCAACTGAGAAGCAGAGCGCTGTTAAAACATATTGCTTTAATCTCTCCGATAAATTAGAGCTCAGCATATAAAGCACGAAACCAAATGTATCTGATTAGCATCACTGCTTCTCAGTCTGATTAATGTTCGTCAGCAGAGCGTGATCTCTTTTGTCATGCTGCTCTGTTTTAATGAAAGTTTTCCTTCTTAGATAGCACGCACTGTTTTGCTGCTCAGAATAAGCGATGACGGCTGGGTCTGCGAAGGCGTCAGGCAAAAGGGGGCGGGGGGAGGAGAGTGAACATGACATGGACACAGCCATCCCATTGTGTTTTAAAATGGTGCCTTACTGGGGCAGCACAAATCTTTCAACAGCCATATGCATTACTTCAACTATGAGGCTCACAATTAACTTTTCTTCGGTCTCTGCCCCCATTCCATGCTTTAAAACAGCATCGATATGTTCAATGTTGTTGTTTTTTAAAGAGGTTTGCCTCCACCGATTTTAAAATAAGAAATGAAATACACAGAGCATGTATCCTCCACATTTTAAACTCACTAAAATCAAAGCACTGTCTTGACTACAGAATACATACATTCCAAGAGTTTTAAGCCAAAATCTGGGACACCATCTTCCCAGATGCCATCTTCCCATTTTTTTATCATGACAGCATGGCAGCCATTTTGGTTGTCATAATTTCACACCACAATTCCCCACCCCCAAAGCGCTATTTTTCAAGTACAGTGCCACCAAATGCATGTTTTTCGACCCCACGCAAGATCACACACCCCCAGCACTTTTGTGCTGCAAAACTGGACAAGATCCCAGCAACCAAAATGGCTGCCGGTCTCTTGCAATAAAAAACAAGATGTCTCAGTTTATCTGGAACACTTGTAGGTTATGCAGAATATGGTACCATTTATATCTGCTGCCCAGATTCAACACACATTTGAGAACAAGTACAGTTTTGTTGCAAAAAAAGTGATACATTTTTAAAGTAAAATTAAGCTCAACATCTGCAACCATATATATGTCTGGCTAGCTGCCACATGACTATACAGTAAAATGATTTTCTCTTTTTTTAAAAAAGAAAGCTTGTTTGCCATTCTCTGGGCAATCATTTGGAAGGGAAAACAGGCTGTAGAGACCTCAACTTTGGCCCTGAGCTCCAGGACTAGCTGCACCATTGTATTTTGCAACTTAGCTGAAGCTAAATGGGAGACCAATGGAAACCATATAAAAAGCCAGTTTCAATTCACTTGATAATAAAAGACTCACCAGGAGACTCCTATACATATCTACTCAGAAGACACATTGAATACAATAGAACCTACCCCCGCAAGGAGGCATGTCCAAAATTGCAGCCTAAGGCTGCAGTTGACTACAGTAGTCCTCTGAGGAAGCATGCATAGGATAGGGAAATACATTTCATACTCATGATACAAGCAAAGCTTCCACAATAAGAACGATGAACAAAGATTGGGCTTTCTACTCTCTCCCCTGATCACTTTTCTCATTGCAGAGCCTCTGAAGTGTAGGTGGGTTCCCATGAAGCAAGACACAGTGATAACAGCAAGAACCTTTGTTGAACTAACAGAACTGGACAATAAGGGCAAAGCAACTGCTTATAGACATTTCTGGAGGCCTGGGCCACTCCCACTCCCATCGTGATTGGCTGTCTAAACTCCCAAGCTGCGAATCGTAACTCAGAGTTTAAGGGTCGATGGCCCAAATCCTGAAATGTTCTGTGATTGGATATCATGTATCAAATCAGAACACAGGGGCTCAGAATCCTTAGTCCAGACTCAAGCTCAGGCACACACAGACCAAAGAATACATAACAGTCTCCATGACTCACAGGTAGTCAAAATGGTGCCCTCCAGAGTTTTTGGACTACAACTCCTTCAACCACAGCTAGCGTGGCCAGGAATTATGAAAACTGTAGTCCAGCAGATCTGGAGCACACCATGATAGCTACCCCAGTTCCACATGAAGTGGCCATATCTGCCAGCACCATGTAAACTGGTTTCTTCTGGGAATGACCAGAGACTTCACTACATTCGTCACAATACGTTTTGAATGCATTATAAACATCCACACCAATTGGTGCCAGAGAGCAAAAAGGAGTTTATATGGATTGTTACATAGGCTCCCCCCCCCCGTTTGTTGTAACAATTTAACTTCTGACTTATTTATCACTTTTGAACCTGTGTCGAGATCCATCCCAGCAAATGAAGGATGCATTATTGAATATTATCTAGTTCAGAAATTGCCTTGGTGCTACAGCAGCATTGAAAAAAAATATTTCAAAAAACAGTATTACTGAAACCCAATGAATGGCTGTCCTTTGGTCACAACTTAAATGCAAAACTTGACTCTGCAATAATGAAATTCTAATCCTGTGAAACAGCTGCTTTTTAAGATGGTTTGGCTACTGCCTTTCCCACAAGTATCCACGCAACTAGCAAATTGAAGGTTAATTTATTAAGATTTCAAGTGAAAGTTCTTCAAAACATACTTGCTCTCAACTCTGAAATAGTTATGGCATATACAAAGGCAGCACATCATTAATATTTAAGTGGCATCCATCACTGTGTCCCATCCGTTCTATATTTAGCCCCATCTTAATAATTCAGCAACTTGCATCTTCAGTAAAATATCATCTTACATCAAGGTACCTTTCTTACAATCCCATTTCAGTAAAAAGGGAAAGCATCAGTAAAAACAGTAAAAACTGTTGCAAATCCTGGGCAGGTTTGAAGGAGAGGGCAGGGGAAACAAAGTGAAAAACAAAAAAACAAAAACTCAGGACATTAGATAGAACTTCAACTCCAGGAACAAATATATAAATTTAAAAACAACCCCCCCACCGGAACCCCCCCCCCACAAACCACATAATAAAAAAGTTGAAAATATTACATTCAGTACTGCACTCACGTATGCAACTTAAAGATAAAATGATAACGTTTAAAAATGTTGCTTGCTCCAATTGGTATGCTTTCTTATAGAACTTGCTATTATTGTTATTGTTGGATTGCATATTTTCATTATGTGTGTTCATATTTTAGTGTTTTTGAGTCATTGGTTTTTATACTTGTAAACTGCTGCAAAAGTATAAGTATGTCAGTGGTGTCAAGACCCAATGTCACATAATGGGTAATGCAGATGGGGCCAGTCACTGTCTCTCAGCCTAATCTATTTCCCAGGTTTGCAAGGATAGAAAGTGTGGAAGGGCTTTATGCATCCTGAGCCCCTTGGCAGAAAGATGGGGTACCTATTACAGAAAAAATAAATGCCCAGTGCAGTGCACAATAAATAAAGCCCATTTCTGTTTTCCTTTACAATAGTTCTGCATGCGGATAGTTTCTGGTGCAACTTTTTCTGCATGTAAGACTCATGCTGTTCTCATTTCAACTAGTTTACATCACTATAAGCTCTTTCACCTTGGGAGAGAGGGCCTAAGTATTGCATACATTTAATCCCCCATGAAAACAAACAAATATTTTTGGTTTGGGGGCAAAAAAATGTGACTAACCCTGAATATAAGTACAGTGGTACCTCAGGTTACAAACACCTCAGGTTACAAACTCCGCTAACCTGGAAGTAGTATCTCGGGTTACAAACTTTGCCTCAGGATGAGAACGGAAATCGCGTAGCAGCAGCAGAAGCTCCCATTAGCAAAAGCGTGCCTCAGGTTAAGAATGGTTTCAGGTTAAGAACGGACCTCTGGAACATATTAAGTTTGTAACCCGAGGTACCACTGTAAATCAACATACCATACCCTCTCTTCTCACGTTCTGCCTCCACCATCCTTTCCCTTCCATTATGGTCCTAGTGCTCTTCAATGCTCAGCCCACCATGATGCACCAAAGCCCACTTCCACAGGCATTCGCATGTGCTTTATAAGTCCAATTACAAGATAGAGTTGGACAGGAAGGCAATGGAACCTTTCCATGAGATCTCTCTACTGCTAACTCTATATCAGCAAAGCATCATAAACAGGGATGGGTGAAACCCAACAAGTATTTTGGAGGGAAGAAAACGCTGAACTCCCTCCCCCAATTTGGCTTCATGGGATTTTATTGCTATTAGCACAAATGCTCATTGAAAGTGATAGCTGGGCAATAAAACCCTGTGGTTATGAATAAATCACTATGAATAAATAGGAGCACAAAAGAAGCAACCATTTCATGATCTTACCTTGCAAATGAAATGTAGAATTAACTTCTTCAGGTTTGGTTTTATAAACACAAGTATAGCTTCCAAGTTGGTCTCTTGTTGTGACATTTACCCTTAACAGAAGAAGCATTATATAATTGATGTTATATGACTATTTTTTAAAAAAAATTAAAAAGGAGTGATAAGAAGCTGGAACTAACTTCACAAAGCAAAAACTGAAAGTAGAATTAGAGAGTGAAGGCAAAATTGCTAAAACAAGGATATTCCAGATTCATGGAAGACTGCAAACTGTAGTACATGCAACAGATCAATTGATGGGCCGTGCATCTTGTGTGAACAAACCACCACAGATAAAATACTACAGGTGGAACTTACAGTGAATATTTACCCATTAGTGAAACTTAGTTACCCATTATGTGGCCACCAACAAAAATGACATGTGTTGAGATCTCCACCTCTCAAATTTAAACTCGGGGATGGGTTCTGAAGATGTTAAAGGTAAAGGTAAAGGGACCCCTGACCATTAGGTCCAGTTGTGACCAATTCTGGGGTTGTGGTGCTCATCTCGCTTTATTGGCCGAGGGAGCCAGCATACAGCTTCCGGGTCATGTGGCCAGCATGACTAAGCTGCTTCTGGCGAACCAGAGCAGCGCACAGAAACGCTGTTTACCTTCCCGCTGGAGCAGTACCTATTTATCTACTTGCACTTTGATGTGCTTTCGAACTGCTAGGTTGGCAGGAGCAGGGACCAAGCAACTGGAGCTCACCCCGTCATGGGGGATTCAAACCGCTGACCTTCTGATCAGCAAGTCCTAGGCTCTGTGGTTTAACTCACAGCGCCACCCGCGTCCGTTCTGGAGATGTTACTAGACCACAAATCTCTTCATCCCCAACGACTGGCCATGCCAAATCAGTGATAGGAGTTGAACTCCAACATGACCTGGTAGATCACATGCCTCCCACCTGGGGCACATCTGTCTTTATGACACCATGTAAATGCCACTACACATTGTGAATGGAAAGGAAAAACTTGACACAAGGATGCCCTTTGCAGTAGCCGTCCTGTGGCTGTCATAGTTAAGCTCTCCTCTTCACTGCAAATGCGATGTTTTATATCAGAATCATTTTTCATACCCTGCAAAAGATCATCAACTGGGGGGGGGGGGAAGCAATGCCAATACACCTGTCTGCATCAAAGCTTCCTTCCTTGCAAACGCTGTAATACACTAGGCAAATCAGAAAGGCCACTCACTCATGTCGACTGCACCAGCTGTTCTTGCTTTCATTCTTGAAGATTCTGTCATTTTTTATTGTTTCGTTCTCCTTCTTCCAAACAACCTCAATTTCTTCCACATCCATAGAAGGCTTAAGAACCAAACTACACAACAGTTCAAGCTCAGCTGGACTCTGTAAAATGATGGTTTTAAGCACTGAATCTTTGGGGGAATCTATGGAAAATAAAAAGAAATTATGTAACTTTTTTAAAAACAACAACAGACTATTGGTTGCACATACACTAGTTTAAATCCAGATTAATTTTGCAATGAGGACATTAGAAAAGCCCTACCATTCTGCAATTCTACCAAACACACTTAAAACTGTCATTTCCATCAATTTCAGGGACTTGCTTAGAAGTAAATACTCCCAGTGCATTGATAAGTCAGGTATTTGCATCAGCAAGTGTCACAGGTGAGTGCTAGTCAGTAACCACAGTCCAAATTTGAAGTTAACTCTTTATTGGCAAAAACGCGATCTTAATGAGCAAAGCAGCTTATTGCTGGTGGTCTTACTCCATGAAAATCAGTTGCCGCGACTGAAAGTCCCCACCCTCTTCACTGCCATCTAAGTCCCCTCCTCCCCAGGATTTTTTCCCAAGCAATCTGAGACTGTGCCTTTGTGCAGCCAACCTCTCCTCTGTCCTGTTCATACCTTTCTGGTTCTGGGAGACAAGAGGGGAGGGGAGCTTGTCACAGCAGGAGGGAGAGACAACCATGCCTCTTTGCCAGCCTGACTCATCTCTGCCTCTTGGCCTCCCTCCTTCCACTCTCCTGCTTCAGCTTCTGCCTCCGATTCTGGACTTCTCTCTGCTACAGACTCTCCCAGCTCACTAAGCCCTGTTAAGTCTTCAGCTCATCATTGTCCCCCACTACTCCCTGGGCTCTAAGCCTTCTTTCCCTTGGTTCACCTGCTGGTTCCTCCCATCATTCCTCAGCATCCAACCAGTCCATGACAACTAAGACAGAGAAGCCTTTTGGTGTGAGGTCCACAAAGCAGTATGCCTCTAAATATCCGTTTCTGGGAATCACAGGTGGGCAAAGCACTGCGGCAAGCATGACCAGCTTGTAGGCTTCCCACAGGTATCTGGATGGCCACTGTGAGAACAGGATTCTGGACTAGATGGGCCTTTGGCCTGATCCATCAGGCTCTTATGTTCTTAGTGAATCACATTTCCACTGGGTTAAGTTCAACTAATTTTCCTCCATATAAATTCTGTGAAATACCTCTAATAACTCAGTATTTATTTTATGTGAAGCAATTTATCCCTGACTGTTCAGCCTAAAAAAAGGTTACTCAAGCAGCTTAAATATCATTGGTAAGAGGGCCCATGCCCAGCATGACCAAAAAGGAGCGCTAAAATAACTCTGTCTCTTTTCCAACAGAAAGGGAGACACTTGACAAACTGGTTTAAGAATGTATCCCTATGGAGCAACTCAGAAAAGGGTAGCAGCAAAACCATAGGGCTTGGTCTGATATAAAAATGAAATACTCTGTGGGTAACCTCAGACACACGTGGTTCACTGTAGTTTCCTGCACAGCTGCTATAAGCTGTACTTGGATTCGGGACTTAAATAGTCAGACATGTTTGGTTTCTATCCGCATACTTTTTGATGTAAAATTATTTAATGGCAAAAATTCAAATAATAGTATTTATTAGCTGTGTAGCCCACACACACTGCCAAAGGAGCCCATGAAGTCCATAAAGCATCATCATGAAGACTGTCCATCTCAGTCCAGTGTTAAATGCAAGCAGTTTCCAACCACCCCCACCCCCCCCACAATTTGTTCTCTTGCTTTTAGCTACTCTAGAAAATTTTGATCCAATGTTTTTGAAATTTATCTCCAAGGCCATGATAGCTGGAATCTTACTTGTGGTTCCCCGACCCCCACTCCCCCGCAAAGGAAACCAAATTAGCATGACTTCTCTACTACCAATCAATGTTCAAGATTAAGAGGAGAAAACATACCCTTCATGGTTAAATTATACTTCTTGAAAGGCAGGATCGGCGCTTGTGTAACGGAACGTGGAGCTGCCAAAAAGAAAAGTTGAGACTAGGTTTATTTTCATATCGAGCAGAACAAGATTCAGCAGAAGATTAATTTGCTCTTTTAACATTCTTTAATGGAATCAAAAATATAAGGACCACAGGAGCAGAAGTACATTTCATAAAGAACATTGGGCTGCCACTAAAAACAGCCTTGTGCCCAGAGCTTCTCCTTATCCTCCTAGTTCATTTTCTGATACCCTTATGCTCTATATATTTTCCTCCACACATTGGCTATTGACCATGACTGTACTGGCTGCAGATATAATCCAAAACATCTGGAGGATGCCAGGTTGGGGCAAGCTGAGTTATGCAGAGTTGGAGCAAGACCAAGAAGACTCAGTGGAAGGTAGATCTTTTATGCCATTCCGTGATGCTTAGAAGAGAGGTAGGACAGAAATGCACTTTGTAATGAACACAGGAAGCTGCCTGATTCTGAGCAGACCACTGGTCCCAATTGGTCTACTCTGCCTGCAGCTCTCCAGGGTCTCAGTTAGAGGCCTTTGCAATCAGCAGCTCCTGTAAACTGGAGTTGCTCTGTCTTGAAATTGACTCTTAAGAAGTCTTCATCTGAAGTGAACAGTGCCCTAAGGGCACATTCTTAATCACAAAATCGTTTACAAGCTGTCACTGCAGATTTGACTTCCCTTCTACAAACCATGGGCGACACTAAACTACCAACTATCAGCCAAACTCAGTGTAAAGTCACATGCATTACAGTAAGGTGAAATGCATTACCACATTTAACAGGCAATTAAAAAACAAAAACAAAATGCAAACGTAAGTAGTTGCCATGAGGAAGAGGAAAAGCAGTATAGAAACTATGGCAAGACAAAGGGGGAGATCTTAATGCAGACATGCACACAGACATGGGGGGGGACCCCTCTCTCCAGCACTTATTCCCAGTGTAGCCCAAGGATTGTTCCTCCCAATGCAAATAGCATGGGGGGGGCGACTCTTGGATATCAACAAAGGGTTAAATGCCCCCTGCCTGCCTGCCATTGTCTTGACCCTTGCAGAAGAATGGGCACATTAAGTGCAGGAACACTTTTAAAGTAATGTTTTCCTTGGCCCTGTATAGCTGTGATCATGGTCTGAGATATTTAGGAAGAATACATTCCAGAGACCAAGCCTAGGTTGCTGAAAATCAGAGCCACCCTAATATTCTTTCAAAACGTTTTGGAGTATGAAAAAGTCTTCCGACACTGCAGGGGTCTGGCTCCTTTTCATTTTTATATAATATGTGAGTTTCTGGGGAGGGGTGTGTGTGTGTGTGTGTGTGTGTGTGTGTGTGTGTGAAAAGCTCCTCCCTTCCTGTGGATGAGAGAAAATGTTTTGGAGCAAAGGCTGCATTTTATTTTAAGGAGTTGTTTCAAAGGCAGCTGTTTGTTGGGACTCCTTGGCTGGTGGTTCTGGAGGGGAAGATTGCTGAATGGAGCTTCAGAGCATCAAAAGAAGAGCCCTGCTGGGTCAGAGCAAGGGACCACTTCAGCCCAGCATCCTGTTTCCGCCATTGGCCAATCAGATGCTTCCCAGAAGCCCACAAAACAGTGCAAGAGGGCAGCATCCCACCAAACACCCACTACAGGAAACCTGTACAGGAAGTTGAGAAATAAACAGCAGAACTTCCCGAAATGTAACCGTGGGCTAGGTGACACAATGAGCACAAATGAGATTCATCTAGCATTTCCTGGGCTGGGCCCCTTTGGCCTGATAAGCAACTGAAACAGCTTGATATCTGACATGCAACGGAATGGCAGCAGCTAGTGTCCATTGGGACTGGGAGGGTGGAAGACAGGGAGCCCAACGTTAGGTAGAACCAGCAACAGTTGGAGCCAACTAGTTCTAGTTGTGCTCCTATACTCCTAACTCAGCCGCGTTCAACAAACGGCAATGCTGATATTAAAATGAGAGACAGTTCCACCCTCTGGAATGCTTGTAAGTAAGGCAGGCTGGCATGGGCTCAGGTAGGAGTAGCCTCCAGTTCAACCAGACCACTTTTGTTTTGTTTTTTAAATACACTGTTTCCTGTAGGCCATACTGCCAAGACTTAGGCTGCACATACTGTATACTCAGTGATTTTTTCTTCTTCTTCTGGGGGTTCTCAACAGTACAGACATACCTCGGGTTGAAGTTGCTTCAGGTTGAGCACTTTCGGGTTGCACTCTGTGGCGACCCGGAAGTAACGGAACGGGTTACTTCCGGGTTTTGCCGCTTGCGCATGCGGTCAAAATGACGTCATGTGCATGCGCGGTAGCAGCGAATCGTGACCCACACACGCGCAGGCGCGGGTTGCGTTTGCTTCAGAATGTGAACGGGGTTCCGGAACGGATCCTGTTCGTATCCAGAGGTACACTGTAAACAGTGTTGTTGTTTAGTCGTGTCCGACTCTTCGTGACCCCATGGACCAGAGCACGCCAGGCACTCCTATCTTCCACTGCCTCCTGCAGTTTGGTCAAACTCATGCTGGTAGCTTCGAGAACACTGTCCAAACATCTTGTCTTCTGTCGTCCTCTTCTCCTTGTGCCCTCCAGGTTTGCAACATCAGGGTCTTTTCCAGGGAGTCTTCTCTTCTCATGAGGTGGCCAAAGTATTGGAGCCTCAGCTTCACGATCTGTCCTTCCAGTGAGCACTCAGGGCTGATTTCCTTAAGGATGGAGAGGTTTGATCTTCTTGCAGTCCATGGACTCTCAAGAGTCTCCTCCAGCACCATAATTCAAAAGCATCAATTCTTCAGCGATCAGCCTTCTTTATGGTCCAGCTCTCACTTCCATACATCACTACTAGGAAAACCATAGCTTTAACTATACGGACCTTTGTTGGCAAGGTGATGTCTCTGCTTTTTAAGATGCTGTCTAGACACAGTACCAACACCTTTTTTCCTAGAAGAAAAGCACTGTGTGTATTTACAGCACATTACTTCCCCCAAAGAATCCTGGAAACTGTGGTTTACCCCTTTGCAGAGCCATCATTCTCAGCACCCTTAAACTACACTTCCTGGATATATTTTTTTTTTGGGGGGGGGGACACCATGTACTTTAAGTGTATGGTGCATATCACAGATCTGCACCATATATCCAAGCACAACCAACACATGTATAAAGCACATGAGTCCCCTCAAGAATTGTGGAAACTCTAGTTTGTTAAGAACACTGGGATTGGCAGACCTGTGTGGGTAAATTGCAGTCTCCATGACTTTTGGGGGGAAGTCATGTGCTTTATACGTGTGGTGCAAATGTGCCTGTAGGTATCTGAGGCTGCTGAAACTGCGCCCCCCCCCAATGCTACCTGGGTTCTCTAGTAGGGGGTAAGAGGTGCAAAAGTTGGGGTCTGATTCATGTCCATGCCAGCAAGAATCCAGGTAATAAATCTAGTTTTTCTGCATTTATTAAGAGAGGAGGAGGAGAGGGTGGGAATGTGCCTAGCCCCAGCTTAAAGGATGTGTGAATTGCAGCCTTGAGAATTTTGCTACGTGCCTCTTTTTAAGTTACAAGGGCCTGCAACACTTGTTTCTGTTTTGCCTATACAATCTTATCAGTGGAGCTACCATGTACACTTGCCCAGGCTGAAGAATGCAACTCAATCAATACATGACAAGGTACAGGCTTCTCCTGGAATGAGTGACAAGAAGACTCCTACAGGGCAAAAGTAAAACACAAGGTGTTCCTCAGCTTTATCTTCCTCCTCTCAATAACTGGAATATTTTAGAGTGCGAATTCCCTCAGCACAAGATTAATCTTGTGCTGTCATCACTATTGGTAGAAACAGCAGACATGAGAAAATAGCCCTACTGGAAAATAATAATAGGTTATTACCTGAAGTGGAAGTTCTCTGAGAGAAAATTCCATTGCTGGAAGTTGTTTCCTGGTTGGGATTTTGTGCTGTCGAAGTATCAGCTACATACAATAAAAAATAAGAGTAAAAAAAATTATTCTTTTTATGATACGGTTTCGAGATTCTTGTTTTAATCTTATTTATTTAAAAAAATGTTTCTGGATCCTGAGAATGGAGTGGACCTTTCATCCAGACAGTGAGCAAACGTCCGAATCCTTTGACAACAAGTTATGAACAGGGCACCTGCCTTTCATTCCGTGTACAGGGAAAAGCAAACCAGACTGGAAATGAAAGCTTACAGAGACAGGAGAGCATCCTCCATCTCACCTGTGGGCAGCAGGCTAGCTTAGGGACACAGGGTAGGCCATGTGGGCCACACTGGTCAACCTTCTCACACCCTTGCCCTCCATCATCTCCTCCATGCAACAAAGCCTCATGGAAAATGCAACTTAAGTCATTCCAAAAGATATTGGAGTACTCCAAATCATTTGCCCATGAATGTGGACAGAAAATAGCAGTTTCAGCTGGAAGGCAACACCTGGAGAGCTCCATTGATCATTGCAATACATCTATTATTATTATTATGTCATATAAGATGATTATATAATCTAAGAAGGGGAATGGCTGTGACTGTCATGAAATAACAGTCTTCTGAATTTCCACTACACTACTGGCCCCACACTGTCTAATGGTAGGGCAGGGGCTCTGGTAATTAATATTGGATATAATATTTTTTTTAATGAGTGTGGCGCTGTGGTCTAAACCACTGCCAATCAGAAGGTCAGCAGTTCGAATCCCTGCAACGGAGTGAGCTCCCATTGTTCGGTCCCAGCTCCTGCCAACCTAGCAGTTTGAAAGCACGTCAAAGTGCAAGTAGATAAATAGGTACCGCTTCGGTGGGAAGGTCAACAGTGTTTCCCTGCGTTGCTCTGATTTCGGTGTTCCGTTGCACCAGAAATGGCTTAGTCATGCTGGCCCAGAAAACTGTCTGTGGACAAACGCCAGCTCCCTTGGCTCATCTGTGAAGCGAGATGAGCGCCACAACCACAGAGTCGTCTGCGACTGGACTTAACTGTCAGGGGTCCTTTACCTTTTTTAATACCTGTTTAGGGATGCATTTCCTGACCCACTTTGGTTGATAAACTTTTTTGTTTAATAAAACTTTTCTCATTTGTTGATCAGATCCTGCATGGGACTCTAAATCATTACATTTTCCCCTCACACAAGTCCCCCACCTAGATAACCTGCTGTAAATTGTAGAAATTCGTGTAATTGGTATACTGTGAGGTGGGTGCACTATATTTAATTGGGGACATTTAGCGGGAGTGGATCCACCGCATTATTAAGTGGTGGGTCCGCTATATTTTATTTTATTAAGTGGTGGGTCCGCTATATTTTAATGGTTTTTTTTGTGTGTGTTTTTGTCCTGGTGATGGGGAAGAAGGTAAGACAAGGTGCACAGGGCTTAGTCCTCCAAAACCTAAGCAGGTGCTCCACACTCCCTGCCCTGTTCTACCTCTCTTCATACTCCTCTTCCATCTCATTTCGGGTCATTTTCTGACATGCAGTTAAAATATATTTTGTACAAGACAGGTCTGAGGAAAATGTATGAGTATAATGTAAAGGGTAAATGTGTGTTGTTCCCGTTTCCTCATTGGTTGCTAAATGACTAACAAACCATTGTACAGTGGTACCTCTGGTTAAGAATTTAATTCGTTCTGGAGGTCTGTTCTTAACCTGAAACTGTTCTTAACCTGAGGTACCACTTTAGCTAATGGGGCCTCCCACTGCCACTGCGCCGCCACCGTACAATTTCTGTTCTCATCCTGAAGCAAATTTCTTATCCCGAGGTACTACTTCCGGGTTAGCAGAGTCTGTAACCTGAAGCGTCTGTAACCTGAAGTGTCTGTAACCCAAGGTACCACTGTACTGGTTTTTGCAAGGGGGAATCTGTGTGCTAACAGCGTTTAGACAACAACCTTGCAAAGTCACACAGTAGATGAAACAATTCACCTCTTGCCATTTGGATGGAGGCTCTTCTTCATCTAATGTCTCCTGCCTGTGTTGTTGTCCTAAGCAACCCACAAAGAACAGTTTGTGCCCGCGCCAGACCAATGAGATCATTTCAGTTGTGTCCCCCAAGTGGAAGGAAGACAGTGTCTTATCTGAGATCATCATCGCCAATAATGCCTTTGTCAATAATGGACTGAGAAATTAATCAGCCTGGTGCTCTTTGCTGCAATGATTCATGCCTGCGTGCTTCTAAGGAAACAGGCTGCCTCTGCTAGCTGTAGATCAATTGGGGACTGGATTCTTTTTTCAGAGGAAGCTCCCTTAAAATGAGTCTATTCTTTTTTTAAAAAAGTAATTTGCTTTTGCGACAAGAACAAAATAATGTATAACATCCAGAAGATGAGGGTAACACATAGTTCAGAGCATTGGCTGCATCTGTTTTACTGTAAAGCATTTGTTGTTCTTATGACCAGAATTCTCCTTTCGGGTTGACAGTGTCATCTTGTACAGTCATTCCACAGGAAGCCATGCGTTGCTGGGGGTTGCCAGTTCTGTTCCTTCCACACTATGTGTTTTATTAAAAAATGCCATGTCACTTGAAACTTCCCTTTTGCCTTTTAAAAATCACCACTGTTTTTCACCTTGTGTCTCACTTTTTCCCCATCAATGCAATTCTCCAAGCTGGTGCCATTCAGATAGCAAGTTGTCTCAAATCTTTCCACCTTCTAGGTACTGTCAAGCCTGCTACTAATATAAAACTATTGCTCTATCTGGTTTAGTATTGTGTCTACACAGACTGGCAGCATCTCTCCAGGGGTTCAGACAGTGCTTTTTTTCTAAAAAAATGTTTAGGGGTACTCTCATTTTCCTACTCATATTGAAATACTGCCCCTCAATGAGGCCAAACTTAGATTCACAAAATGTTTAGGGGTATGCGTACCCCTGTGTCCCCCCCAGAAAAAATGCACTGGTTTCAGGCAAGGATATTCCCAGGTATACCACAGATATGTACTACTACATATCTCTGTACATGTATGCTGTAAATCAGGGGTAGTCAACCTAAGGCCCAATTGCCTTCTAAATCTGGCCCGCAGACGGTCCGGGAATCAGCGTGTTTTTACATGAGCAGAATGTGTCCTTTTATTTAAAATTCATCTCTGGGTTATTTGTGGGGCATAGGAATTCGTTCATTTTTTCCTTCAAAATATAATCCGGCCCCCCACATGGTCTGAGGGATGGTGGACCGGTCCACGGCTGAAAAAGATTGCTGACCCCTGCTATAGATCGAACCTATCTTAACTAGTCCTCATGTCCCCTTTTCTTCATAACCACATCCTCTTTCTTGATAGTACATTATGAAGGGAAATGGTTGAGGGGTGTACGTGTGCCACAGTTGCACACATCTGCACACAGCCACCCACTGTGTTCCATTAAAAGTATACCTAAAATACTGAAGTTCTATAAGCTATGGAACTACTTCAGTTGAAAATATACAAGGCCTCAAGTCTGACTTTATTCTCTGCAACAGTACTGTAGTAATATTTGCAGGAACAGAGTGCCTTGCAGAACAGTGTCTGAAGTTGCAGTTCTAGACCCTTGCCTGGGAGTAAGCCATATGTAGGATTGCACTGCGCAAGACCGTTAGGATTGGTGCAACATAAAGCAGAGATGAAGAGTGAAGAACCTGAGCATAGGAGCCGACTCCCAGGGGCCGTAGAGGCCTCCCTCAAAATTGATGAGCATTGCCATACAATGGTGTGCATGCACCACATTATATGATCAATTATGCAGGCATACCCTCCAACGTTTCTCAGATGAAAATAGGGACGTCCCATTCCATAATGATCATTTTACTATTTATACCCGATGCATCTTACTGGGTTGCCCCATGCACTCTAAACTTCCCTATAGAGGATTGCCTTCAGATGCCTCAGGGGTTGGCTAACTCCATACCTTCCAGCATTTCTCCAATGTAAATAGGGGCATCCTAAGAAAAAGTGGGTCATTCCAGGATCAAATCAGAAACCAGGGCACCTTCTCTAAATCAGGGATGTCCCTGGAAAATGGGGACACTTGGAGGGTGGGGCTTACCTGGGCCTCCAAATATTTTATTCAAGTTGGCAGCCCTGAACCTGAGTTGTATATTCTCTCTTTTTAATCCTACTTTCCATATCACTGCTGCTTTGCAGTCATCCCCACAACAGCCATGTGAGAGAAATCCATTAATCATCCCAGAGCTATGCACAGCATTTTAAATGCCTGAGCCTAAAATTTTACTGCTGCTGCTCTCCCCCATTCTTGATTCTGACCTCCTCCTCTGAGGATATGCTTCAAGTTCAAATAGTTTCAGGTTTAATTCCACAGTATTATCTCTAGGTAGTCCCAGGAGCGATCCATGTCTACAACCCTGGTGACATGGGTTGCCATCCAGTTTGCACAATACTGGGCCAGATGGAGGTCAATGGTCTGACTGAGCACTGTATACAGCATCTTCCTATATTGCCCATCTTCTGACTGACCTCATCAAGCAGAGAAGTTACTCCAAGAAGGCACTAAGCACATAAATTTCAGGCAATCTTTCTGTAGGGTGGCATCACTTGGCCCAAAACAGCTCTGTTCTAGAACTCCACCAGAAAGTCTCAGCTGAAGTTCACACTGTGGAAGAGGTACTTGCCTGCTCCACCACTGCAGGGTATTGGACAGAAACGAAGTATTCACTGAGTCAATTTTATATCGGTGAAGCTATGTTATACAGCTGAAGCAGACTGACAAAATCCAGAAAAGGCCAAGTGAGGCCCACCATTTCCATGAGGGATGATGCTCCATCTAAGCAAGTTCTGGCCAATCTTTGACCCTTCCAGATGTTACCGAACTACAACTTCCATCATCCCTGGACACTGGTTATGTTTGCTGGGTCTGGTAAGAGTTGCAGTTCATAAAAAACAAGAAGGCCAAAGGTTCACCACACCTGATTGCCTGGTGTGTTGCTGTTGCTCACTGAGAGGGAGAGGTGGTGTGGATGTCAGCATGGTGCAAACCCACTGGCAGAGCCAATCCAACATTTCTGCCAGTGCATGTGCACTGTGCCAATCGCCTTCCACCTCACCCCCTCTACTTTCCAGTAAGCAACTATAACCCACTTGCCAGGAAGCCTAGTGGCGCCGCCCCACCTGGTGACCTACTTCTGCATCTGCAAAACTCCAAAACATCAAACCTGGAATTTCCACACAGCCATCGTGACTCAAAACCAACGAGAGGCCACTCATTCATTAGTCTCCTTTTTAAAGCTACTCTGCATACTAACTGAGAAATCTTTCTCCACACATGGACAATTTAGGTAGCCAAAACTGCAACATCCATGTACAAAAGGATCAGCAGGCTTGGTTTGAAGGGGGCACAGGAGTGAGGAGAACTCTAAGGAGAGGAATCCAAACAGTCCACTAAGGATTGAGGATACAAAATGCTGACTGCCTTTCGCAGGAGCAGAAAACAAGAGAAGATGAAATGGAAGTATCCTCAAGGATGTTGCTGGCTGGTTGGCTGGCTGGAACCCTGAACAGGCACATTCCACACGACACCATTTTGTTTCAGGACCCTGTCTAAGTTAGCAGCCATCCCCATTGTGTGGTAGTGAATTCCATACATTAAATTATACTCTATGGCGTGAAGTAATTTGTCTCTCCTAAATTGGAAGCCAAGTGGTTTTACTTGATGACTCCAAGTTCACTATACTTAAAAATCCTTTTCTCATAGTGAAGGGCCATTCCTACTCCCCATTTAAAATTGTCCCTTTGTTTCTCTGTTTAAGATAAAACGTAGATCGTGGAGCTTCTGAACAGCTTTGATACTACAAAGTACAAAGGTACTTGCTTAATTTTGGGCTAGACTTAACAGCAACCACTCAGTGCTGTTGGAGGGGGAACGCAACTCTGCAGCGATCAAGAATTCTGAAGCTGAAACCAGGTCCATTCGGGGTGGGCAACACAGCTTCAAAGTAACAAATTTCAGATAAAGCTACTCAATATCTTTCTAACCCTTTTGATCCCAGCAGTACTGTGATACAACCTGTTGGCCTCTTCAGCAGTAAATAGATCAGAGGCACATGTGATCCCACTCCATCTCAGAAATCCTGAAGATGATTGGTTGGATCCAGACTAAGTGAGTGGCACTTAGTTGCCACTGAAATCAACTTAAGGCTGCATTCAAACTTCCCCCTCCCTCGAAGAATTATGAGCACTGTAGTTTTTTTAAGGGTTGTTAACATATCTCTGTTAGGGGTGATCTACACTACCCAGAATTCTTTGAGCAAAAGAAACTGCTTTGAATGCTTTAATGTGCATGGATTGTACACAGCCAGAGTCTCAAGGATTGTAACAGGACTTTGGTGTAACGTCTGTGAGTCTGGACTCTGGAGGATCCAGCCCTATGCCTAGCAATTCAAAATCTGGTTGTTTTCTAGTTGGAAACTGCTGTCTGTTGTACAGGAGATTATACTACAATTTTTAAGAAAAGGAACATGGGGTAAGGATATTTTTCAATAATGACTTTATAAACCCCATGAATTCTAATGGAATTCAGTCTACGAAAGAGGTCCGCTCGTTTATTTCATATCCTCACTGTGTGATTTGGTAAAACACTCTCTCAAACTTTCAAACAGGAAGCACAGACACCATTTCCTCTGCATTTACTGTGGCGCAAACTGCGGGGAGGGGAGAATCGTCAGATATCGTGCCAAACAGGGTTTTAATGCAGCGTGCACAAAACAGGACTTCAAAGTGCTAAAATAGTTTGAAATGTGTAGTGAAGTTGGGGACCTGGAGACAGAGACTAGAGTCCTACCTGCACATTTAAAACAGAGTTGTTAAGGGGAGCCTATTCTACTCACAGATCTTCAATTCTCAGAGTTCTCTGGGAAGAGGGGCCAACTTTTAAACCACCCTGAGAACTGCAGCTCTGCAAGGGGAATAAGGGTCTCCTAACGGCACTGTGGGTTAAACCACAGAGCCTAGGACTTGTCGATCAGAAGGTCGGCGGTTTGAATCCCCACGATGGGGTGAGCTCCTGTTGCTCAGTCCCTGCTCCTGCCCACCTAGCAGTTCGAAAGCACAGCAAAGTGCAAGTAGATAAATAGGTTCCACTCTGGCGGGAAGGTAAACGGCGTTTCAGTGCGCTGCTCTGGTTCACCAGAAGCGGCTTAGTCATGCTGGCCACATGACCCGGAAGCTGTACGCTGGCTCCCTCGGCCAATAAAGCAAGATGAGCGCCGCAACCCCAGAGTCGGTCACAACTGGACCTAATGGTCAGGGGTCTCTTTACCTTTTAACAACTCACAGCACCCCTAACCTCCCGGGATTCTTTGGGGGAAAGCCATGGCTGTTTATATTAGTACGATACCGCTTTAATTGTATGGTGCAGATGGGTCCCTAGGGCAATGTCAGCAGGATCTAGGAACCCTCTTCTGTTGTGAGACTTGCACAAAGTTTGTTGGGTCTTGGGTGAGAGCCAGCATTGATGACAGTGAGAGACAGGATGCTGAGAGCGGGTTTGGGGGGGGCAGTTTGAGATGGAAGTTCCATCTCTGTGTATTCACATTCCTGGCTTTATTGTGCATTTTTGTAACCGTTGTTTCAGTTGACTGCAGACTGCTTAGGGACAGTTTAATATCTGAAGCGGTATAGGAATGGTCTAAATAAATATTTGAGGCAACAAGTGGGGGGGGAGTGCTGCTGTGCTCATGTCCTGATTGGGGGGGGGGCGCTTCCTACAGGCATCTGGTTGGCCACTGGGAGAACAGGATTGGCCTGATCCTGCAAGGCTCTTCTTATGTCCTTGTGTCTTTACAACTGTGTGCGCGCGCGCATGGTGGTGGTTATAGTGGAGTCAAAGAGCAAGGACATGCAAGTAGCACATCATTCACACAGAGCAGCAAACAGACACAAAACAAAGGGCAGTGATCATTCACAGCTGAAACAATGGGCCATCATCCTGGCATTATTAAGTTAATTCCACGGGTAACGTTGCTCCAACAACACGGATCTCCAGTCCTAGGGACTATTGTCTGCCTCCACTTTACCACCTGCTGGAATCTTAACTTCTCTCACCCCTGCTTATTTCCCCCCTCCTCCTTTTATTAAACTAGGAAGGCAATGGCTTTTACAAAACAGGACATGAAGGATTCTACAACCAGGGGAATGCAGAGTTTGGAAACGCCTTAGACGCGTGTCTTTTTAATCTTAATAGTCATAAGGTAGGAATTAACCTTTCAGGGGGCGGGGGAGCCTGTTTAGTATGCCGCAAAGTGAAGATTCGGGCAGAACATCACTTCACCAAAGCAACCCCCTCCTGCCAAATAAATAAAGAGGGGTAAATAAATAAAGAGAACGTTTAAAATTAAAATGCCTTGAAGCATCTAACCCCCCCCCCCCTCGGTTTGGAGAAAATAATAGTCGTCGTTTTATTTATTTTTTTGCCTTGAAGCAAACCTTCTCAAGGTGACTGCTCACCTTGGGATGAGAAACGCAGCAACGACCATCCTTTTTTTCTGGACGTTTGCCTAGGTCGCCAGCCGCCCGGAGAAAACACCGCGGAAATTCATAGCGATTATTAATATCCTTACCTGCGGGAGTGCTGCTGCTGCTCCCGACGTCCAAGACACCCCAAACAACCAGCAGGAGAAGGAGGCGAACGGAGTGCAACGCCACGGAGGCGCTCATGCTTGCTTGCTTGCTTGCAGCCGGCAGAAGCTTCTGCAATAGCACTGCAGTAAGTTCTGGCCGCTTGCTCCGTTGCGCCCCGCCCGGCCGCTCCAGCAAGCAGCGCCTCGTTCTTTGAGAAGGGTGTTGCCCTGGAGCTGTACTAATAACGGGAGACTGACGTCAAGAGGAGCAACCAACCAGCGAATCGTCGGGCAGGTGCGAAAGAGAAAGTGTGGCCATCGCGCAGCTGTTTAGAACCTCCGAGTCTTTCTATGAATGAATGAATGACTAGGGAGTGGTTAGACTCCCTATGTTCCAATCCTATGCATCCTTACTCAAAAGTAAGCACAACAGCACAACAACAATTCCAGGTGCATTTTTTTTTAAAAAAATCTAGGTTCACTAAGACAGATCTGGCTGCCACTAGGATACCTGTCTTTTATTATTTTATTTTCAATTCTGTATCCAGGGCAGCTGTCTACCAACTCCACCTGGTACGCAGGCTGAGACCCTACCTGCCCGCGGATTGTCTCGCCAGAGTGGTGCATGCTCTAGTTATCTCCCGCTTGGACTACTGCAATGCGCTCTACATGGGGCTACCTTTGAAGGTGACTCGGAAACTACAGCTAATCCAGAATGCGGCAGCTAGACTGGTGACTGGGGGCGGCCGCCGAGACCACATAACACCGGTCTTGAAAGACCTACACTGGCTCCCAGTACGTTTCCGAGCACAATTCAAAGTGTTGGTGTTGACCTTTAAAGCCCTAAACGGCCTCGGCCCAGTATACCTGAAGGAGCGTCTCCACCCCCATCGTTCTGCCCAGACGCTGAGGTCCAGCGCCGAGGGCCTTCTGGTGGTTCCCTCATTGCGAGAAGCAAAGCTACAGGGAACCAGGCAGAGGGCCTTTTCGGTAGTGGCGCCCGCCCTGTGGAACGCCCTCCCATCAGATGTCAAAGCGATAAACAACTACCTGACATTCAGAAGACATCTTAAGGCAGCCCTGTTCAGGGAAGTTTTTAATGTATGATATTTTAGTGTTTTTTGGTTTCTATGGAAGCCGCCCAGAGTGGCTGGGGAAACCCAGCCAGATGGGTGGGGTACAAATTATTATTATTATTATTATTATTATTATTATTATTATTAAGCTGCTCTTTTAGCATTTGGCTTACTCAAAAGTCTTAATTTGAATGTGATGGTAGAAGACTGGATTGGCAATGTTGCCACTGCATTGCGTTTTTTTGCAGCCATTTTGAAAGGACCTTGGTTTTAAAAAAAATCAGTTTCTTTTAATAAACCAAACCAAAATCACTTAAATCTGTTCAAAAAGGCTACCAGCAACTTCTTTCTGCTTTCTCTTTACAGTCATAAAGTTGGAAGGAACTTCTATGTCTAGGCTGACTTTTGTTTGTTGCTAGGTTCAGGTGGCGCTGTGGGTAAAACCTCAGTGCCTAGGACTTGCTGATCGTATGGTCGGCGGTTCGAATCCCCACGGCGGGGTGAGCTCCCGTCGTTCGGTCCCAGCTCCTGCCCACCTAGCAGTTCGAAAGCACCCCTAAGTGCAAGTAGAGAAATAGGGACCGCTTTATAGCGAGAAGGTAACGACGTTTCCGTGCACTGCGCTGGTGCTGGCTCGCCAGAGCAGCTTCGTCATGCTGGCCACGTGACCCGGAAGTGTCTGCGGACAGTGCTGCCTCCCGGCCTCTTAAGCGAGATGAGCACGCAACCACAGAGTCGGACACGACTGGCCCGTACGGGCAGCGGTACCTTTACCTTTACCTTTAGGTTCAGGTATCTGAAGAAGTCTGCATGCAACACAAAAGCTTATACCCAGAACAAACTTAGTTGGTCTCTAAGGTGCTACTGGACAATTTTATTTTATTTTTACTTTGTTTGCTTGTTACTCTCTGAGTTTCATTTAGGCAGGAGAGGGGAAGTGACTAATAAATAGAAGAAATAAATAATAACCCGCATCTGCATTGCAAGGTACAATCAGTGTAGAATTCCTGACCAATGGCCAACCAGCCACTACTTAAATAAATCCAGTGAAGGTTTTGTTATAGGACTGGGGGGCTGGTTAAGCAACCTTTATCCATGACTTGGCTGTATTGCCATAGAAACAACTAACCAGTGATGCATTTAGTTGGAGATGGCCGGCATTGCCACCTTCCAACCTGGCTGGAGGCCACATCATCTAAGGTGTAGGAGAACAATAGACCAGGGACTATTTTTTGGCTAGTCCCATTGAAAGCTGGGAAGACACAATGACTTGACTTCTCGCTCTTTGCTGAACTCGCCAAGAACTCCAATGGGGGAGGCAAGATCTGATTCTCTGGTGCTCAGCTTGAATATATGTGTAAAGAAAACCATATTTAATAAAGACACTGTAGCCATAGTGACTTTCATTCCAAGGGAATGAAAACAAAGGTATAAGTTGGTACCCCTGAAGTCTCTCACCACTCAGAGAAGTGTGTGTATCAGTACTTTTGCATGTATGGTTGAGGCACCACAGAACTAACCTCATAAGGTTATGAAGAAGAGCCCCTCTGGATTAAACAAACAGAAATCTTCCCCCCCCCCCGGAATGCTCAGCCATATATAAGCAGGGACTGAAACAGGACAGCAACAGAAACACACACACACCCCTCGACTCCACCAGCACTGTTTGTTTCCCATCAACAGGTATTTAGTGGCTCAGCAGTCTTTGGAGATAGCCATCCTGGCCATTGATTGACCAAGTCCCTTTGTCTTTGAATTAGCCTAATCCCCTGCTGATGCCTATTACATCTCCTGAAAGTGGAATTCCAGGCATTTATGTGGCTTGTGTGAAGATGTACTTCCTTTTGTCCTAAACCGCCTATCTAGTGTAGTGGAAGAGGGAGATATATATTTTTCTAAACCTCCATCACAGAACCTCTTACAGCACAATCCTATACAGTGGTACCTCGGGTTACAGATGCTTCAGGTTACAGACTCCGCTAACCCAGAAATAGTACCTCAGGTTAAGAACTTTGCTTCAGGATGAGAACAGAAATCATGTGGGGGCAGTGCAGTGGCAGTGGGAGGCCCCATTAGCTAAAGTGGTACCTCAGGTTAAGAACAGTTTCAGGTTAAGAACGGACCTCCAGAACGAATTAAGTTCTTAACCCGAGGTACCACTGTATATGTTTACTCAGAAGTAAGGCACCACAGAACTAACCTCATAAGGTTATGAAGAAGCCAGAGCAACCGCTGCCAGAGCAGCAATGTCACGCTGGCCACGTGACCCGGAAGTGTCTCCGGACAGCGCTGGCCCCCGGCCTCTTGAGTGAGATGGGCGCACAACCCTAGAGTCTGTCAAGACTGGCCCGTACGGGCAGGGGTACCTTTACCTTTTTTAAGGCCCACTGAAGTCAATTCCCATGAAAATGGGCAATTGTACCCTGTGCCATTTCTACTCCAAACACTGGTGTCCCAAAATGCTTTCGCCTTTCCCTGCTTTGTAATCAAGTCTCTTGTCTTGATCCACACTTTGATAATTTTGCTTGCTCTTTCCTGCATCTTTTGCAGCTCTAAAATATTCCATTTTTTTGGGGGGGGGTGCACAACTTATTCCCAAAGTCACTCCATCATATATTTCTATAAAGGCATTGCAGTATTATTCCCTGTTATAATTTCAGCCTTATATTTTATAATTTTTTCCTACCACTAAAGTTTTCATTGAGCTGTCCACCATGTTCTAAAAATTTTAAAGACTTGATTTGATTAGTTAATTAGTTAGTTATGAATGACATTTTGTATGCTGCTTCATAAAATGAGGCAGTGGTCTTCAGCTGGTGCATCGGGACTGCTATTGGTCTGCACCCTAATCTAAAGTGGGTCATAATAGCAGCACTCCACCATATGCTTTTTAAAAAAGAAAAGAAATGGGCTCTCAAATGTGTGCTCCGGTTAAACATGGGTCTCAGGTCTGAAAAGATTGAAGAGTACTGATGTAAAGTACTCTGCGCAGCTAATTCCAGGAACTCAGCAGGGCTAACCTTTGATGCTTGCTGTAAATGTCAGAGCTCAGCCGTAAGCATGCTAATATTAATAAAATAAAATAAGAATACCTCAGACCATGCGCAGAGTGATTTTACCCTTCCTAATGAGATACTCTTGTCTCACCCAGTTCATCTAGATCAGGCATCCCCAAAGTAGGCCCTCCAGATGTTTTGGGACTACAATTCCCATCATCCCTGACCACTGGTACTGTTAGCAGAATCAGCAGCAGAGCTAGCCCTTTAATGGGAGGGAGGTGGTTGAGGGTTTCACTGGGTGATTTACAGGGTTTCTGTCTCCCAGTTGTTTCAAAGCAGCAGCAACAAAATAGCTTTTCTTGCTAAAATTAGGCTGCTGAACAGGCTTAGCAAGAGTGGACTTTACAGGAAAGCTTTGTGAACTCAGGGTACAGAACTGATAGCCTCTTCCCAGGCTCAGGGACATTCTGTTTAATTTCCAGCTCTGGTTATAGAGTTGGAAGGGAACTTAAGGGTCATCTAGCCCAACCCCCTGCAATGCAGAAGTCATAATGATGATGATTGATAATGATAATGATAATGATGATGATTATTTATACCCCGCCCACCTGACTGGGCTTCCCCAGCCACTCTGGGCGGCTTCCAACAAAATATTAAAATACAGTAATCAGCAACTAATCACAGGTTAATAGACCTTGGAGGTTCTAGTGCTAAATGTGCGTTCTCTTCAGCTGTCTTGTCTTTCTTTAGCTGTGAAGCCAATCACACCAAATGATACTGAGGTCTGCCCAGCCCTGCTCAACCTGGACCCGGCTGGAAGTGGGCAATTTGGCCTGAGCCTGGAACTAAGCAAGGAATGAGCACAACCTGCTTCTCTCTGCCTCCTGCCATATGCACAGCCGAGGATGCACAGCTCAGTTTCATGTGGTGTAGAGGTTAGAGTGTCGGACTAGGACCTGGTAGACCAGGGTTCAAATCCCACTCATCCATGAGGCCCACCTTGGACTAGTCACTATCTTTCAGTCTGAGCTACCTTGCAGGGTTCTTGTGTGGATAAAATGGAGAAGGGAGAAGATTGTGTATCACCTT